CATTGCTGCTGTCGCGAAAACCAAGGTAGGAGACATCTCAGCGCGATATACTTGAATAAACCAAACCCAATTTTAGCCTGGATTGGCCCTGCTCACGTTGTTCCTCAGCCGGGTGGAAGTTATCAAGCAGGGATGGTCGACGGGGGTTGAACCTGTAGATCTTATGACCGCACAGGCCTCTCTTGAGCAATGGTGAGAATCTCCATGCGCCCGAGACATTAACTGATGCTGATCTCGATGTAGGCAAGCTGTATTTGACCAATTCTTCGTCCTCCTCACGCCTCACTTGCTCCAACTATTCCCTTCGAGCCGCATCACTCTTCCGGCACACCATCCGCCCAGTGCTGCGCTTGCTGTGGATATCATCGACCAGCCGGTGTGGCAGTTCCTTGCGGCGTTGGCGCTGCAGGCGGTGCAGGAGCAGCACCAGGTGCTGGTGACGTCCCTGCGCGACAAGGTGCTTGAGAATGTGCTGAGCGCGAACAAGGGTTGGGTGGCGGACGAGGATGAGAGGCGAACAAAACTGGCGAATGTCAACCTATTTCTGCACGCCCTTGGGCTGGATAGTTCGCAAATCGCGCTGTGAAATGCTATATATTTTGATGAGAAAGCTATTACGTAACGAAGGAAGGGTCCCAAAAATAACTTGGGACCGACGTGTCGTGTCTAAATCTCTCAACTCTCGTTTCTTAGCCTCCGACTGTTGGTCTGTCGTGCTGGCTGCAAATCCGGACCCATGCTTTCGCTCTACACTTTCGCCCTATTTTTCCTCAGTCTCGCAGGTCTTCTGCACGCTAAATCCAGTGACGGAGATTCTGTTCTCGTCCTCGTCGAGGAAGCGCACAAGAAGGACTATAGTCTCTTCTTCAACGACCTCAAAGGTGTGCTGCGCGCCAATCCTGCTGATATTTTCTGACCTCCTGCTTAGAGCATGGATACGACCTTACATTCCGCGCACCCAAGGACGACAAACCAGCTGTAGTCGAGTATGATGTTCCCGCATTCTCTCACATTATCATCTTGGCCTCTGAATCCAAAAGTGGGTCCTTTATGAGCGCGATCGTACACGAAATTCATTACGGTTGCCCAGATTTCGCCAAAGATATCACACCTCAGTCTCTAGTTGAACTCGTGTCAGGCGGCACCAACCTCCTCATCGGGCTTTCTTCCAAGCAAACCCCGCTTTCCTCTCTCGCGTCCGAATTCTCCCTCATTCTCCCGCCCCCCAGCACGCCCCTGCTCTCGTTCTTCCCCGAGCGCAAAGACCCGCCGTCGGTGATCCCAATCCCCGCGCCTGCGTCTTCCCTCATCGTGTCTCCCAACACGGCCCCCGTCTGGTTCTCCGGGGTCCCCTTCGCGCTCGGAAACAACCCGCTCCTCGTGCCGATCCTGAACGCGCCCCCGGAGAGCTTCGCTGCGGACTCGGAGGGCGGCGCGGACGTTCTCGTCGACGCAGCCGAGAAAGGCGGTGAAGGCCTGTGGGCCGGCAGCCAGCTGAGCGTGGCGGCCGGCTTCCAGGCCGTCGGCGGCGCTCGCGTGACCTGGGTCGGCGGCGTCGACATGTTCAGCGACAAGTTCTTCAAGAAGGAGGTGTCCAAGTGTGTTTTGTTGCTCTTGTGTCCCGTATTGCGTTGATCCTCAATAATATTTCGCCAGGGGAGTCAAGTCGGGCAACGCGGAATTCGCGCGCGACTTGACGGCGTGGGCGTTCCAGGAGTCGCTCGTGCTGCGAATCGACAGTACGACGCACCACCTCGTCAACACCACGGCGCCGTTGGACCAGTACACTACCAATGACAACATTGTGCGTGCTGGTGTTCCTCACCGACTTGGTCTTGAATAACTTGAATATTTCCCAGGTCTTCACCGCTCACATATCGCGCTTCCAGCCGAAAACCGCGACTTGGGAGCCGTACTCGGGCATCAAGGACATGCAGCTCGAGTTCACGATGCTGGATCCTCACATCCGCACGCTCCTCCCGGCGGTCCCTGGGTCGCCCGGCGAGTACTCGGTTACCTTCCGCGCGCCAGACCGCCACGGTGTATTCAAATTTGTGATCAACTATAAACGAAAAGGGTGCGTACCTCGCTTTCCCGGAGAGCAGTATGCTAACCTCGTGTAGCTGGACGCACCTCCTCAGCTCGACCACTGTCGCTCTTGTCCCTCCCCGGCACGACGGCTACCCGCGATTCCTCAGCGCTGCGTGGCCCTATTATGCGGGTGCTATCAGCACCAGCGTGGCGTTCTTCCTCTTCTCAGCGGCCTGGTTGGCGGGCGACTCGCGCGAGAGTAAAAAGACGAAAGGGGGCAAGGCCCAGTAAGGACATCCAGACTTGTACCATTTGCTCTTAAATGCTTTGCTGGACGTTGGATGCCCATGAGTATGAGAGGGGTGAGTGAAAGGCATTAAGTTCCATTCTAAATGTACGGACAAAAGGACAAGGTCGGATAAGTAAAATAGGATGCATGCATGCCCCGCGTAACATTCTATTCTGTGGCAGGATCAATCTAATCAGTTGCACGTTCGTGGCAGGAAAAGAAAGAACCAACGTTTTTGAGCTTAACAAACGCGCGATTATTTGCCACCGGTCGTTCCCATACCCATGGCGGCCTTGAACGAGTCGTAAATCCACCATTGGAATCCAGTGAGGGTACCTAAATCGGAAAATAAACATCGGAAAACGCGAGGAAGAAGCGCATTTGAACGAACCAATCATGAGGACACGCGTGCCGAGTCCTTTCGTCGCGAGGGTGCCGAACCCGACCTCGGAGGTGATCTGACCGGCGGATTTGCCCTTGTTCTCTGCCTTGCCGAGGAGTGAAACGAGCGAGTCGGCCGGGTGGGAGACAATGGCGCAGACGACACCGGCGAGGTAACCAGACGCGAAAGTGACACCGAGCTGGGTGGGCTTGCTGTAGGTGTCCTTGGGCTCGGTGAAGACGTGGGTGTAGAACAGCGAGACGATCTTTTCGAAGAAGAAGAACTTGGCCATGGTGTAGGGGATCTGCGAGCGGCACGCAAGTAAGAACGAGTTGCGAAAAAAAAAATACGAAAGACGAACCTGACGCGACCATAGAGGACCGAGGGAGCCGAAGGGGAAGCGCGTCTCAGCTTTGGTTGCGCTCATCTTCGACAATGCGGCGCCGAAGCCGGTGGGGAAGGTTCCGGTGGCACTGGTCTGAATCTTGACCTTTGTCATCTCGAGCGGGCAGAGGGCAATGTCGGCAAAGATCTCGGCGGAGGCGGAACCGGCGAGCCAGATAGCGGGCTTGTAGTTGTTGGACAACTCCTCGCCCGCGAGGTTCATGTAGGTGTCCTTGAACACTTCGTAGAGACCGTACTTGAACATGCCCTGGAGCGAGTAGCCGACCAGGGTGGGCCCGAAGCCTTTCCAGATACCGGTCTGGCCCTCCTCTTTGACGAGAAGGCTCAGGGAGGGGAAGAGACCCTTGTATTTGAGCGGGTTGACCTTTTTAGCGAAAAAAAGAATGAAAAGATGAGCGCGTGGGCGGCAGGGCTTGGATTCGGGGACCGACCTGCATGTTACATTTTGCAACGTCGAGGGGGGTGATACCGGCGTGTGTTACGCCACAGGCAAGGGCACCGCCGAGCATGCACTTCGAGTAGTAGCTCACGTCGTGAGGCACAGGGCCGAGGAACCTGAAAAACAAGGGATTAGATATCAGAAAGGATTGTGGACGGTGTACTGACCGAGCATCCCATTTTCCGAGAGGAGGGGCGGACATGGTGGTCGTCTAGAAGAAGTCTAGGTGAAGGAGGGTGAAGAGATCAAATTTCTTGCTGAGCTGGCCGATTCCTTCCGGTTTTTGTTTTCACATGTTTGAGTCGCGTACATCTTTCCTCCGAGTCTGACCCGGCATCCACAACGTTTCTGCTGCCATATCCGAGCGAAATGCTCGGGAAATGCTCTGGAATCAATGAAACTTCATTCCTTTCAATCTACTGCTTCGAGGCCGATGCATGAGTATAACGTTCAACTTCCGAACGCGGCGGCCAATCGGTGACGACGTCCAAGGCTACGCGCAAAGCTTGTTTGTCTTGATCCTTGAACCAACTGGAGCAGTAATTTTGGTTTTGGTCCTTTTGCCGGCCGATGAAAACGTAGGGTTTCAAGCTCTCGTGTTGCCATACCATTCGGCGATTCAGGACAACAATCGTCATTGTGCTATTCAGATCCTTGGAAGTTGCCGAAGGTATCGCACGCCTGCGCGCTTCTTCCACTGGCAGTTGCGCGCAAGAACCTACTTGTCTGGATTGCCGGCCGACTTGAGTGCTAATTGTGCCTCTGGGTCCACTTCCGAGACGGGGTCCTCCAAATTCTAGATATCAACTGGACACACAAAGCGGATCCCGCCCGGGACGCGGTGCGGGGAGTCAGAAACGATCCCACCTGAAGGAACGAATAGCCATCGGACCTTCGCTTCCGCGCAAATGGCGTAGATATGGCTCTGGCTTCGACGTAGGAAACGCCAGCATTCAAGCTCTAGACCGTCACGTCAATATTCGCTATTTATTACACCTGACTGCAGTGGCATACTCTTCCGGGAAAAAAAGTGTACTCCTGTCGCAAAGGAAACGAATTCAAAGAGACACTGCCATGAACGTGAATTCCACCACAGCAAGAGGCGATGAGGCTCGAACCCACAACATGGACGTAAGGGGGGGGTTCGAGCCCCGTAGTGCCCTGCGAGTCTGCGCGACACCGTCACTTCAAATGTTGGCTATTTATTACTACCTGACTGCAGTGGTATAAAAAAGTGTACTAGCCCGTCGATGGAAGGCTTGAAGTCCAAGCTACTGCCATGAACTTGATTTCCACCCAAAAAAAAAAGAGACAAAGAACTGCCGATGGGGTTTGAACCCCGGGGGAGTTCGAGACCGATGGCTCAGACACATTGTTGGCATGAAAAAAGGAAGAAACAAAAAAAGAAAAAAAAAGCAGAAAACAAAGAAAAAGAAGAACAAAAAGCTTAAAATAACCGCCGATGGGGCTCGAACCCACAACCTTTGCCTGCCAGGGGGACGTAATAGCAAGAACGTGTAGGAAGGCAACGCACTACCTTTGTGCTACGGCGGCCATGTGAGATGGGAAATGATTTGTACCTAGAGGGCACGGGGACAACATACACGTCCTGAAAATTTTGCGACTCGATTTCTTTCTTCCCGTTCAGTCCATTGCCCTGAGGTCTGAGTTACCACGCTGATAGTCGTGGCGGTGAACCAATCGTGAGACCTAATTTTGTTCCTGCTACAGCTTGACGTGTTTGATGAGCAGAAGGCGCCTTCTACTTGGCAGCCTCTAAACGTGTTTTTACGCCGTTTTCTTGAGAGCCCTGGTTGCGCCTGAATGTCTTGTAGATGGTTAAATGGGGACATTTAGCTCTGCCGTTTTTCGTCCTGAATTTCCCCTGCGTCGACTCGGCTGGTAATTATCCCCAAAGGTGAAACGTGAGAACGAGAACCCTCACAGACAAAGCGTGATCCAATCACTAATCGAGCAGTCTCTCTTAAGGACGACATTACGGCCTCACAATGTCCCCCACCAACCACGGAAAGCTGGGTGCCCCTGCCTGCGCTGATTGTCACGTCGTCCCGTCTATGACCTCGCAATGCACTGACCAGTGTGTCGTTGTGGCGTGTACTGACGACGCCGCCATCTGCGACATGGACTGCCCCGGAAATCACTGTGATCTCGTCTGCGAGGATGCGTCCAACTGCAAGGACTGCAACGGATTCGACGAATTCGTTCGTCTGTTTTTCAGTCGAATTTACGCGTCTAACATGAATTTTCCAGCTGCAATGTTGTACAGACTTGCATTCATATTACGAGGAGCCTCGAAATCATCCAGAGACCACCAGCAATTGGGCTTGGGACCCCTCTCTTAAAACCTTCGTATGCTCTTGTGGAGGGGAGGGCCGCATGGACTGCATCCCGCCCGGTGGCACCCCAATGCTCGACAAGGCCGACCATGATTTTTTGATGGCGCTAGAAACCGCCGCGCGCGCATCTCCTCCTACTCCCTCAACCCCTTCTCCGCCCGCCACTCCAGCCCCCATAGAACCTACTCTCGCCTGCATGTGGGGCGACTGTGGCGCTTCGTTCATGAGTCGCTCGGACCTAGCTGAACATGTCAATCTGGTCCACCTGTGCCATCCCCCTCCGCCGTTACCCCCTGCGATGTCCGACTCCCGAGATCTTGCGTCGATGTCATGCCAGTGGAAAGACTGCTGCATGTACCCCACTCCGGATCTGGTGCCGAGCCCTTCCTCAGGCGACATCGACTCGATGCTATGCCTTCTTTCTTCTCATCTCTTGCACGACCACCTAGGTCTGGATGACGTTCCTCCGTGTTTCCATCCGCACAACTGTCAGTTCCTCACCGAGTCGCCCGCACAAGCACCATCCGCTGCGCCAGAACCTGGACCATCGACACTACCTCCCGAGACCGACGGCCCTGCGGGGCATATCTGCCGGTGGTCCTCGTGCGGGCAGAGCTTCGGCTCTTTAGACGAGCTCACTCAGCATCTGACTGACGCTCACGTCGGGTCGGGAAAGACGTCTTACGATTGCTACTGGGAAGATTGTCCTCGACACGGCGAAAGCGGCTTCACAAGTAAGCAAAAGCTCAGCAGACACCTCCAGGTTCGTTGGATACTTCCACAGTTTCATGTTCCCGACGCTCACATTCGGTCCCTCTAGTCGCATACAGGCCATCGACCATTCCAATGCAAAGTCTGCAAGCAAAACTTCTCCGAGGCTGCCACTTTGCAGCAGCACATGCGACGGCACACCCAGGAAAGTCAGTAGCAACCCATCAACTCCGTTGAATCACCACTAACTGATAGTTGCTAGAGCCGTATCTGTGCGACTACCCTGGCTGTGGGAAATCATTCGCCATCACTGGTGCGCTGACCATACACAAACGGACTCACAATGGCGAGAAGCCGTTCAAATGTCCTCAATGCGACAAGTGAGCCCCGCCTGTTCCCTTGTTTCGCATGATTAATTTGTGAACAGAGCTTTCTCGGAGTCGTCCAATCTGTCCAAACATGTATGTCGTCCTTGGATTCTAAATAGTAACATTCATTAACCCACCTCAGCTTCGCACCCATACAGGTGCAAAGCCGTATACCTGTGATACTTGCCACAAATCCTTTGCGAGAGCGGACCAGCTCACGCGGCATACTCGAGTTCACAACAAAGTCCCGGATTCATAGGGTGACGTGGATGTCATTTCCTCTTTATAGCTATGTACAACATTGTATACAGTAGCATGCAAAATAAATCGTAAAGAACTACGAAGATTGGTAGTAGTTAGGGCATGAGTAGGAAAAATTAAAACGAACGTGAAGACGTGAGGCTGGTATTGAAGGACTACTCCGTCAAGCGATCCAAGCAAATCAGAAGGGGACATTGACATAGACGAAAAAGAATCATATACCGAGTCGACAGCGCCGAGGGTCCTGTATCTATATGGATGCCTCAAATCGCCGACTCTTCGCCTAACCGCGCCTTTCCGCGAACCTCTCCGACGCGGGACCCGACGCTGCCGAACCACTCCTGCGCCTTCAACGCGCGCTTCTCGCCCTCCTCCGCATTCTTGACCTCCTTGCCCCGCTCCTCCATTGCGCCGCGGAACCGCTCCCGCAGGTCCCACGACGCCAGCCGCAGTACCTTGCGGGTCTCCCGCCCGATCCGCACGACATGCTCCGCCTCCCACTGCTTCTCGTCGTCCTCCGCGGCCTCAACCGCGGCCTTGATGCGGCGGCCGACCGTGCGCGGGATGGTGCTCGGGAGCTCGAGCACGACGTACACGACCGCGCCAATAGTGACCGCGCCGACGACGGGTAGCGCCCATTTGCGCGCCGTCTCGTTCCCGAAGAAGTCGCTGAGGCGCACGATGCCCTCGATGGCGCCGCGCACGCCGATCGCCTGCCCGCCAACCATGGTCAGCGCACCGACACCGACGCCGACGACGCTGAGCGCGCCGGGGCCGTCCGTCTCCGAGGTGGACTTGGAGCCGTTCGACTGCGCGTCGCCACAGTGGACCCAGAACTGGTGGTTCACGTCGAAGAGGTCGAGGAACGTCGTCTCCTGCATGTCGGGGCGCGCGGCGAGGCCGATACCCAGCCCGTGCGCGCCACCGGCGACAATGACGGTGTTTCCGTTGCGCGTCTTGAGCGTGCCCTTGGAGCCGCTGGCGCTCTTGCCGCGGCGGACAGCGGAGAACATCGCTTCGGGCATGAAGACGCGGCGGCTGCGCTCGACACCGACGGGGAGGTGCTCCTCGCCGAGGTCCTTGATCTGCGCAACGCCGGCGGAGGTGACAGTCCGGGCCTCGTCCTCGGCCAGCTTTACGGACTGGTCGAGCGACTCGAGCAGGGTGCGGCGGACGTCGCGGGCGTAGTCCCAGACGGCGAACAACCCGGGGTACGAGGGAAGTTGGAGGCCGCCAAAGGGTTTGCCGCTGCCGACCTGCTCCAGTGCCTCGGCGAGGACCTTCTTGGTCTTCGCGCTGGCTTTCCCGACACCGTCTTCCTCGACGCTCTCGAGGCTCTCCTCGAGCTTTTCCCGTCCAGACCGCATCTTCTCGAGGACCGGCTTGGCCTCGGCCAGCTCGGCACGGGCCTGGGCGAGCTCAGACTCGGCGACGAGTTTGTTGGCAGAGGCGAGGAGCTCGATGTCGCTGAGGAGGTTGAGCAGGAAGGTCTCGACAGGCTGCAGCTTGGACTTGGAGCGCTTCGTGAGGACGAAGGACCGCAGGGCGGCCTCCATCTCCTCGAAGCCCGTGTTCTCGGCGTCGCCCGCGGCAGAAGCCGAGTCGACAAAGTGGACCAAGTCGCTCGCGTCCTCGTACGTGCGGGGGCTGAGACCCTTGATCTGCTCGAGAACGACGCGGCGGCACTTGTCCTTGTTGCGGATCATGTCGTACTTGTTTACGACGATGAAGAGATACGCCTTTTCATTGCTGGCGGTCCACAAGAACTCCTTGGCCGACAGAGTAAAATGGTTCTCTGCGGAGACAACAAAGACGACAACGTCAATCTCCTCCTGCCGGGCAAAGAGGGCGGTGGTCTTGATGGAGTCGCGGTTGAGGCCGGGGGCGTCGATGAGCGAGATGTTGACGGTGCCGTTGGACAACAGAGAGTTCTGGTCTTTTCCGGCCAAGTAGACCTTGAGAAGATGCTCAGAGCCTTTGGTCTCGTACTCGGCAATGATCTCCTCGAGATCCTCGATGGCAGCGGTGGTGTACGTGGACTCGTCTGCGGCACTGTACGCGGTGCCGGCCTTGACGATGTGCACGGCCTCGACGCCGTTGTTCTCGGTTGCGTCGTGGACCTCGCAAAACGCGGTAGTGCACGGCTGCTGGTCGACAGGCATGACCGGACGACGGAGCAGCGAGTTGACGAGGGTGGATTTGCCGGCATTGAGGTCACCGGTGACGAGGACCTTGGACGAGGTGTCCTCCACACGGAGGCGAAGCTTGTCGATATGCGCGACAGACGCGGCTAGCCGTTCGTCCAAGAGGTGAGCAATGGACGATTTTTCAAGCTGGGAGACGAGGGACGCCGCGGAAGTGGCGGACGAGGTGCTCCCGAGCTTGAGGTCGAGCCGGAGGACGTGGAAATCGGAAGAGAGCGGCGGGGGGTTGGGGGCGGTCTCGGGTTCGGTCTCGGTCTCCTTCGCGGCATCTACGGATGCGAGGGTAACTGAGCGAGTGAGACCGAGGCGGACGGGGGTGTGAGACGCGGGGTCATCCGCAAAGGAAAGCGAACGACGCAAGGTATCGGGAGCGGACGGGTCATCGCGGAGCTGGGGGTAGCGAACAACCCAGTCGTCCTTGTTGAAGACGCGGAGGTCGTCAAGGATGGACTTTGTAGAGTCTATGGCGTCTACAAGGCTGCAGAACAGTCAGCGTGACTCCGGACAACTGCAAACGACTTACCGGTCCTTGTGCTGATTGTATTGGTCCTGGACATCGTCCACCTTGGCCACAGGCCGCGGGGGAACATACGTCTGAGACATGGTTATTTTGTATTAGGTGCCGAAGGCAAACGCTGAGCACAGCGACGAAG